AATTTTAATTTCATAGTGTTTATTTGAATTTACTTTATAGATGTTTAAAACACAAAGCATAGGGGGTGTCGCCGCCTCACAACGGAACGTCAATTTTTTTAAGTGTATTTTTTTTAGAATGAAAAAGACAAACACATTAAAAAGATTCTAAAAAAAACACCTAATCTCCCATTTTTTAAAAGACACAATTCTCGTCATTTTCTAGTTTTTAATTGAAAATTAAATGACGGCATTGATATTTGTGATCATAAACATTTTATTCTGTTGAATTGAACAAAGGGATTGTCAAAATGGGAAAAAACGGCCTCGACGAGTTGTAATGCATTTATTGCTTCAAAACATGGGAATCATCACAAGCGACAGTAACGTTAATTAATCAGACTTACAGAATCGAGAATCTAAATAAGAGACATCTTAATAGATGGTTTCAGCAATTTTTAGCGGGTGATTGGTCACTGAATGATCAGCAGAGGACAAAAAGACCGAAAGATAGGAGATCGGACGGAAACGTTCAGTGGTGTCTGACGTCAAAAAAGACAGATGGATAGAGTGACACGTATATGTGAATTTCTAAGTTTGTCTTTGCTACTGTTCAAAATATTTTGACAGAGGGCTTAATTATGAAACGAGTGAGTGTATAATGGTACCAAGAACTCTTAAAGAAAGTGGAATTGGTGAAAGTGTTTGTGAATCACAAATATTTTTTTAATGAAACGAAGGGGAAACGCTTAAAAGTATGACGGTGCGCATCCGTCATATGACGTTATATTTAGGTGCGGCGACTACCGTAAACGCACATTGTTTAAAATCCGATATTTTGGAAAGTAAACACCATATTCCTTTGATTTTTTCGGGTCTGATTTGAAATAAATAAAGCTTCCATCATGTATAATTTTGTTGCCTTACGTCGATTTATAGCAATTTTATCAAAGTTATGACATTACTTTTGGATCAACCCTCGTATGTGGTGTCACAATAAAAGGCTTCAGTCCCTGCCATTATTATATATTTATATTGTATGTCATCCACCCTCACTGTATATCTCTTCCAGTACCCCCCTCCCTATGGTAATTTTGCTTTGAGAAGAGTAATTAGTATTGCTTCGTAAAAGAAAACAAAAAAATACTGAAATTTTATCTGATTCAAAATTAATTCTTTAGTTTTACATATCTTAATATTATTTATTTTTTAAAGTCATTGATTTCTGAAGGATGATAGATAATAAGTCTGCTTTTTTTTCTCCAGGGCATTGTTAGAGCTCTGAGAGAATACCAACAGAAGCTGATAGAAGGCAATGTTACTGTGTATGTCAGGAGGGCAGGGCCAAACTATCAGGAGGGGCTCAGGATCATGAGAGAACTGGGTATGTAAAATGGATGAAAGTTTTAAAAAATTATTTGTTTACTTCAAATTTTATTGAACTTAAACATTTTCTTGTTAAAAAAAAGTTTTCTTTACTAAATTAAATAATTAGGGCCCCGCAAGGATTTGTGGGTGCCCTATAGTAATCACTCTGTCTGTCCGTCCGTCTGTCTGTCTGTCTGTCTGTCCGTCTGTCACTCTTCCGTCCACAAATTTTCTGTTTTTTTCTAATAACTTTTTTTATGGTTGCCCAATCAAGTTCAAATTTGGTATGGTAGTTCAGAAGGCAGAAATACATATTTTGATGCTAAGTTTGGTTTTCTATGTCTTCTGGTTTGGAGCTGGGGTGGTGGGGTAGATTCCTTAACTATGCATAAGAATGAATGGGAAACTTTTTTTATGGTTGCCCAATCAAGTTCAAATTTAGTATGGTAGTTCAGTAGGCAGAAAGACATATTTTGATGCTAAGTTTGGTTCTCTATGTCTTCTGGTTTGGAGCTGGGGTGGTGGGGTAGATTCCTTAACTTTATATAAGAATGCATTGGCAAAGAGAGATAACTGCTGAAGATGTTCCCACTGTAAACTGAATGCTGCTACGAATCCCTTGGGATTAATTAGCTTTCCTCCTAAAGAAAATCCAGAGCATTATCTTTATCTGTCACATTGAGATGAATTACCACCTCTGTCTGCAAATGAAGTTTGTTTTGAAGTTAAGTCAATTTGGAATGCTATGAACACTCTGAAATGTGGATTTAAATATAAATTTTCATAATTTATTTTTGTTTAATAGTTATGATTTCATCGAATTCTAAAAACAAAAAATAGATTAAAGAAGATTTTTTGATTTACTTTTTTTCACTTTATGTTAATTCAAGAATATTATTAATTTTTAAAGGTACATGTAGTTGTATAAAAACCCCATTCTATCATTAATACTGAAAAAGTTCTTATTGTAACTTTAAAAGATAAAGTGCCACGCCACAGCATGATACGCCCGTCAAAAAATTACAATTACAATGTATCTTAAACAGTTAAAAGTGCAGGAAAATCATGTCAACCTTGATTTTAAGATTTCAATTATTTTTACACACCTTAAAAAATTTGTTTATCCATCTCCTGTGGTGTAGGCATTAATTATAACAAATATTGCATCATTCGTTGATTTCTATACTTTGCCAAATGCCTATCATATTAAACAATATCAAATTAGTCTTCACAACTTAATCTATACCTAATTAATTTTGGAAATAAAAGGCTGGCCATCAAATATAAACTGACCAGCAGTTCTTCTGTCTAATTCCCAAAGGATGCAGATAAGACCATGCTCTGAAGAAATGAAAGAGACATGCTGCTAGCCTTCCTACATTGAACACATTAATTAATCTTTAACTGGATACTTGTCTACTCATTACTCCCAAAAGATTATTGGATCTGCACTATGTACCACAAAACATTTTTAAAACATATAAAACATCAATAATTTTTTTTTTTTAGATTTGATGTCAGACAGTTAATTGTTAATAATATGCAATTCATATGGACATGCAGATTCCACCCCTACCCCCATAAAATTAATTTTCAAGTTCATAATATTATGTACCGGTAATATCAAAATAGTTTAATATGCAATATCAAATTAGTTTTAATTACTTCTCATCAAATTCATTTTAAAACTTCTGCTAGCCCAACGAGAGCTATTTTTAATCCAACAGGCTTACCCATTTGGCCCAACAGTCAAGGGATATAGATAGCACTGATGCTCTTACAGCTACTCCTCACACTAAACTCATTAATTTCTCTCTCTAATTTGACATGCAATTTTCTGTTATCAAAATTCTTCTTGACCAGTTGCTTGATAATTAGACTCATGGGAATGGTGGAATTTCTCTAACATACATTATATTTGTTATAGATTGCTGTCAAGTATATGCTAAAAAAATAAGTATTTTCTTGATTTAACATTTTTCTAATAAGGTTAGTGCAATAGTTTTACATTTTTGTGAATGTGTAAATGAATAGTGAAAACACACATTTTTTTTTTTAATTTCAATTAAATTAAAGGTCACAGTGACCTTGAAATAGGTCGCGACACACCTTCTACCTAAGATGCATGAACTGGCCAAGTTTGATGAATCTAAGTCTAATAGTTTTCTAGTTATGGACCGGACAGGATTTTTCCATATTTGGCTATAACTTTTTATACCCCCCGCAAACGAAGTTTGGGGGGGTATATAGGAATCACCTTGTCCGTCTGTCTGTCTGTCCGTCTGTCCGTCTGTCTGTCTGTCCGTCTGTCCGTCTGTCTGTCTGTCCGTCTGTCCGTCTGTCTGTGCAATCGTGTCCGGTCCATATCTTTCTTAGAGAGGGACATTAGAATCTACTACTCCACACTAAGATTGCTCATAACCTAAGGGTGTGTCATGACCTTGACCAAAGGTCATTTGGGGAAGTTGAAGGTCACTGGAAGAAAAATTTCATAATTCGTGTCCGGTCCATATCTTTCTTATGGATAAACTTGGTAGGTTCTCATTTCACACAAAGATTGACCATGACCCAAGGGTGTGTCATGACCTTGACCCAAGGTCATTTGGGGAAGTTCAAGGTCACTGGGAGAAAAATTTCAAAATTCATGTTTGACACATATCTTTGTTATGGATAAACTTTGTAGGTTCTCATTTCACACAAAGATCGCTAATGACCTTAGGGTGTCTCATGACCTTAACCTTGGTCTCATGACCTGACCCAAGGTCATTTGGGGAAGTTCAAGGTCACTGGAAGAAAAATTTCATATTTCGTGTCCGGTCCATATCTTTCTTATGGATAAACTTTGTAGGTTTTCATTTCACATAAAGATTGCCCATGACCCAAGGGTGTGTCATGACCTTGACCCAAGATCATTTGGAGAAGTTCAAGATCACTGGTAGAAAAATTTAATAATTCGTGTCCGGTCCATATCTTTCTTAAGGATAAACTTGGTAGGTTTTCATTTCACACAAAGATTGCCCATGACCCAAGGGTGTGTCATGACCTTGACCCAAGGTCATGTGGGGAAGTTCAAGGTAACTGGAAGAAAAATTTAATAATTCGTGTCCGGTCCATATCTTTCTTATTGATAAACTTGGTAGGTTCTTATTTCACTCAAAGATTGCCTATGACCCAAGGGTGTGTCATGACCTTGACCCAAGGTCATTTGGGGAAGTTCAAGGTCACTGGAAGAAAAATGTTATAATTCGTGTTTGATACATATCTTTATTATGCAAAAACTTACTTCTGAAAAACCCAGCGGGGGGTATTTTGTCCTGATTGGACAGTTCTAGTTAATTATAGGTCAGAGCGACCTACTTTTTGTGCGCGACACACCTTCTACCCAAGATGTATCAGCTGACAAAGTTTGAAAACTCTAGGCCTTATAGTATTAAGGTTATGAGCCGGACACGAGAAAAGCTAACAGACAGACGGACAGACAGACGGACACGAAGACTATAACATAATACGTCCCGTCTTAAGACGGGCGTATAAAAATGATGAGAGAGGCACAATTAATCCCTTGGGATTAATTATCTAGCCTGCTGCAGAAAATTTAGTAGGCTTTTCTTTATCTGTCACTTTAAGATTAATGAAAACCTTTGTCTGCAACTGCTGTTTGTTTGAAGTTAAGGTCAAGCCTTCATGATATTTGCATTCATTGAAGGCTGGATTTTATATAACACAAGCTTCATAATTGTTTAAATATACATTCAATGTTAAGTCGTTCTTTACTGCCTAATGTAAGTACAAGGATATTATTTTCAGGTTTTTGAATGTTCAGGAATTATCTTGAAATTTTAAGAATACAGTTGCTGTTGCTTATTCTTCATACATTTTTTAATCATTCCGTAAGTTGCACCCTTTTAATTCTACCCCATGGCGGGGCCCTTGCTGACTGGTCAGTTTTCTAGTTTGTACATTTCTGATAATATTTTGTATGCTTGCATTACTTTGCAATAACAATTTTATATTTGTTTTTGCATTCTATTAAAATAATGATGATTCCTTAAATGTTTTTTATTTTTATCACAGGAAATACCCTGGGAATTCCAATCCATGTATTTGGTCCAGAAACCCATATGACAGCTATTGTCAGTATGGCTCTTGGGAAAAGAGAGATTCCATTAACGCCACGGCCCATGAATACAACGGCAAACTTTTTGTTGCCAACTGGAGGGGTAGGTGTCTTAAAGCATATGTATAAACGTTCATTGTTATTGCTGTATAATATCAGAGCATGCCAGTGCTTAACACCTGTTTTGTCAGAAATTAAAAATGACGTGTTTTTTTTAAAATGTAATCAAAACTTTCCACAGCATTAGCAGGAAATGCATATAAGTATATTTAGCAATTAAGGCCCATTTAAAACCTTTAAAATGAAAATAATTTTGATAATGAAATATTACAATTAGTGAACATTTATTTTTATCAAATTTCCAGGTTGTTCAGGTAATATTGAGCACTTTGATATTGTGATTAGTATAGCTATAGAAGTGTAACTTGTATGCAATATACTATGGGATAAATCCAGAGTAACAAATTTACTAACATTTTTCTACTCTAATTAAAGTGAAGGCACCTGCATTCCACCAAAAGAGCAGTCATTTAACACTACATATGTACACTTAATAGTAAAAACAGTAAACATTGGTATATTATTATAATTATATAAACTATATAAGAAACTTCAAAGAATAATTGCTTCATGTGTCTGTGTCTGTTGCATGTAAATTTTTTTCTTACATTTGCTTGTTAAAACGTTCATGACTATCAGGTACATGTTTGGAGATTTTCATATAAAACCTTTGTCTATCAACCCCTTCAGATACTGCATGCATGTTAACAGCATGCAGACTTGATTCAATCTAAAAATTATGTTGAATATTTCTCTTCCCTAAAATTTATCTTTTGTTGCATTTTAATTCAATACGTGCAGGCTTTTACACAACTGGGTCATGTATTTAAGACCTAATAACATGTGTAAGTTATAGCTAAAGTGCACATGTAAATGTTATACATGTAATATTTTAATTTTTTTCATGACATCATCACACTGTTTGTGATTTGGTTTGATGTACCTTTCATGGTTTACGTAATATTTCAGGCTCCTTCATTTTACTGCCAGCAGGGGATGTCTTTGGGGGTAAAGTTTTGATGTTGTATTGTGAGCATGCAGAGATTGTGATTCCTTTTTTTTCTCTCCCATTTTTCATTATTGAAAATGCAGCATTCATAGTTTCTTTTGCAAGATGAGTTTCCAAGAATAATGATTCTGAGTTTCTAGTGATTGCTGAAAGGCAATGCCATGATAGTGTATGAGTTTATTGTGTTGTTTTCTCTTCCAGTCTATTGCATCGCTTCCAATCTGCAGACTAGACCAGTTCTCAAAAACTTTTTTTCTTTTTTTTTTTTTTCATATGAAGAACTTTTAAGACAGGAGTTTTTTTTTTTTTGCATATTCTTTGAATTAAATATGATTAAAACTGTTCTATTAACTGTATCAGATATATTTAAATTCCATGGTCTTAGAATAGTGAATATGAGATATTGTGTGTCACTTTTTCTCTAAGGCTCTGAGTGATGTTCTCATTTCATTAAGAATGTATTTGAGAAAAATGTTCTGCATAATTATTTCCAGGTCAAATGATCCAAAAATTTAAATGAGGTGGCAAGTTATTCAAGATTTTCTTTTTTTTTAATGAAATTTTGTCTGTGCCTTTTCTAAAAAACGATGAAAGATTCAGTCAGGAAATTTTTGTCTGATTTTGATCTGTACATTTGTACAGGTCTGGTGTTTTGTTTTTTCCGGCATTACTTCCGTTATCCACGGGAAGTAGTTTAAAAATATGCATTTTTGAAAAATTTTCATGTTGAAATGTTTATAGCATAGACATATAGGGTGTCTCAAGTCATTTTACATCAACCGGAAGTTGGGTCTTGAAAACCGGATGTTGGGTATTATAAACTGGAAGTTGTTCAAAAATGCGTTTTTTTCATTGAAACTAGAGAAAAGTCAGGGACACAGTCATTGTGGAATTTTAAGTTGTTTGAGCACTTCCAGTCACACTGGAAGTAATTGAAAAAGAACCGGAAATGACCAAATATTTAATAATTTCATTTTTTATGTGTTTTGTTAGCATATTTTGAATAATTTTAGCATTTATTTTATTTATCTTTACTTGCTCTTCCATCTTTAAGTGGAACTTTTAATGTCAAGATCGTAAATAGGTCTGAAGACCTACTCGTTGCTTTGCAACGGGCTCGGCTCTAGTTATTTACTATGTTGGCTAGGCAAGTGTTATTCTCAATTGGCCTATTGTTTTTAGCTCACCTGAGCCGAAGGCTCAAGTGAGCTTTTCTGATCACATTTTGTCCGGCGTCCGTCTGTCCGTCTGTCTGTCCGTCTGTCTGTCTGTCTGTCCGTAAACTTTTCACATTTTCGACTTCTTCTCAAGAACCGCTGGGCCAATTTCAACCAAACTTGCCACAAAGCATCCTTGGGTGAAGGGGATTCAAGTTTGTTCAAATGAAGGGCCACGCCCTCATTCAAGGGGAGATAATTGAGAATTAGTGAAAATTGGGTGGTATGTTTTAAAAATCTTCTTCTCAAGAACCACTGTGCCAGGAAAGATGAAACTTATGGGGAAACATCCTCAGGTAGTGTAGATTCAAGTTTGTTCAAATCATGTCCCCCGGGGGTAGGGAGGGGCCACAATGGCCGACCAAAGTTTTACATAGAAATATATAGGAAAATTCTTTAGAAATCTTCTTCTCAAAAATGACAAAGCCATAATTCATCAAATTTATATGGAAGCATGCTCAGGTAGTGTAGATTCAAGTTTGTTCAAATCATGACCCCCGGGGGTAGGGCGGGGCCAAAATGGCCGACCAAAGTTTTACATAGAAATATATAGGAAAATTCTTCAAAAATCTTCTTCTCAAGAATGACAAAGCCATAATTCATCATATTTATATGGAAGCATGCTCAGGTAGTGTAGATTCAAGTTTGTTCAAATCATGACCCCCGGGGGTAGGGTGGGGCCAAAATGGCCGACCAAAGTTTTACATAGAAATATATAGGAAAATTCTTTAAAAATCTTCTTCTCAAGAATGACAAAGCCATAATTCATCATATTTATATGGAAGCATGTTCAGGTAGTGTAAATTCAAGTTTGTTCAAATCATGACCCCCCGGGGTAGGGCGGGGCCAAAATGACCGACCAAAGTTTTACATAGAAATATATAGGAAAATTCTTTAAAAATCTTCTTCTCAAGAATGACAAAGCCATACATGTAATTCATCATATTTATATGGAAGCATGCTCAGGTAGTGTAGATTCAAGTTTGTTCAAATCATGACCCCCGGGAGTGAGGCAGGGCCAAAATGGCCGACCAAGGTTTTACATAGAAATAAATAGGAAAATTCTTTAAAAATCATTTTCTAAAAAATAGCAAATCCATGATTGGCCATGGGACTACTTTTGGAATTAAACTTTACAATAAAAAGCCATTTTCTACTTTTTCCTACCCTTAGTGCTCAGGTGAGCGATGTGGCCCATGGGACTCTTGTTCTGTATTTATATATTTAGGAATTATATGTAAAGTATGGAATTTACATGAAGTAGAATGAATTGAAGAATTAATTGACCAAGGAATCCATCTGATTTTTCGTCTATTGAGCAGATCGTGAGAAAAAAAAATTGAGAACTGGTCATTTAAATATTTATGGACCTTTTACACCAGTCCTGTGTTGTTTAAAAAAAAAATCAAATTATAGAAATACATTTTTACTTTATGTATATAAAAATATATGTGCATATATATATATTACATTAATTTCTTTATCATGGCTTTCTAAATTCAGTTTAATATATACATGTACTATTTATCTTGATACATGCACTACATATTGCAATAATGCTCAATATAAAGTCATGTAAATTGGTTGTTGCTCATATTCAAGTTGTTGAATGATGTGTTGTACAGTAATACAGTAAACATTTACTTATGTTTGAAGTGTAAGACTATATATTTTTGTTAGAAACAATTTTCTTGCACACTTCACACAATACACTAATAAAGATACAGCCAACAATACAGTAGTACAGTGTATTTAAATCTATTACACAGTTATCTAGAAAATGTGTACAAGTAAAAATCTCTGGATTAAAACATGGTTTTCATATATGATCTTCAAAATACTTGCAAAGGCCATTCAGCATCTCAAGTATACAAGACAATGTATTGTGACATAACTACATCTTTTCAGGCCTCTCCCTCAACTAGCAGAAGAGGATCAGTTAATGAATCCACACCGAAATCTGAGGTCAAGGTCACTGTTCAAGGTGAAGGTCAAAAGGCCACATCAAAGTCTGAGAGTACACGGCCCCTGTTTACAGAGAAGACACAGTGTATTATCTGGGGAATGCAGCAGAGAGCCGTACAGGGGATGCTGGATTTTGATTACGTCTGCTCCAGGCGAGACCCTTCTGTGGTGGCCATGATTTATCCATTTACGTGAGTGGATAATTGTCGGGATAAATTCTTTTGGATTTTATTCATAGTCAAGTGTTTCAAGTCACTAAACATGTTGAATGATTGTTAAGGTACATGATTGTAAACTTGTTTTGACTATTGACAGGGGAGATCACAAACAGAAGTTTTATTGGGGACATAAAGAAATCCTTGTTCCAGGTAGAATAGTTTTATGTGTATTGGATATATACAGAAAATACTGAGTTGTTGCAAAGAAGTATGATTGGTTGTGTTTTATTTATATTAGTAGAAATTTCATCATAACATGTTGGGTATTGTTTTATAGTTTACAAGAACATGGCTGATGCAATGAAGAAGCACCCACAGGCAGATGTCCTCATCAGCTTTGCTTCACTAAGGTCGGCTTTTGAGAGCACCATGGAAACTATGAGATACCCACAGGTATTATAGAAAGCTTAAAACATTTAATAAGTTATTCAAATCATAGTCTTACTTAATTGCTTAATTTCTGTAGTGGAATTAGATAAAAAGGATGCGCTTGTACAAAGTTTTCTGTTGAAATTTAATACGTGGTATGCTTATGGGGAAAAATACTTAAATTTTTAGTGCTGGAATTAAGAATTCAGATGAATTGTAAAGATATTTCTATATTTATCTATAGATTCGTACTATTGCCATTATTGCTGAGGGTATTCCAGAAAATCTTACAAGACAGATCATTAAAGAAGCTGACGAGAAAGGAGTGTTCATCATAGGACCTGCGACAGTAAGTTATAACTATAGTCTACCAAGAAAAGCATACTTTGCAACAAAATAACATTAGAAAGGAAGGTGCCCACTTAGATTTTACCCACAAGATAGCTTTAAGCCTCTAACTTGCACAAATTACACATGTATTAATATATCATTGTAAATTTATAATGTAGGTAGGTGGCGTGAAACCTGGATGTTTTAAAATTGGTAATACTGGAGGAATGTTAGACAACATCCTGGCATCTAAGCTCTTCAGACCTGGAAGGTAAGAAAAGTATGATGAAGGGGAAAATATACATAAAAGGATGCTGAGTATCTACATGAAGAAATAATCTACTAGTATATTGCTCCCTTACAAAATATTTGTAAAACATTAAGAGGCAGTCCAACGAAAATCCAGGCAGTATTGTATTAAAAGGCGGCACATCGAATGTGAGGAATATTTGGTATTTTATTAAAAACAGTATCAATGTAGTCCTAAAGGAATAATGTAACTGAAGATTTGTTTGAAAATTGCTTATTTAGTAAAATATCCTTGTGTTTTGTGTTTTTGAATTCCACAATATAAACCATTGAAAGTAGGTCAGAAACAAAGAACTGTAATTTCCAATACAATTTTAACAGGACTATAATTCACACTTAAATAAATCTAGAAATATTTCATCTTTTTGTTTAAAAAATAAAATCATTGGGAAAAACACTTTTAATAGAAGTTTTCTGGCAAAATATATAGACGTTTTTATGAAAATTTGCGATGCAAGAGTTATCTCCCGTGGCATTGGTAAATCTGCTAAACACATCGGAATCCTAGTGAAATATTTAGAATCAATACACTAAAGAAAATTATCAAACTCAAAATAAATAATTTGTTTTCAGAATGTAATTCATTTTCGCCTCCAAACATAATATTTAGATTAAAATTGGCTATAAGATTCAGGTTAAATCCAGGTTCCCATTGATGTATCAGCGACGTCATAATATTGCGTTACAATGAAAAAGTTACAAGTTTTCCAGAGAAGTTTGTAAATTCTTTGCGTAAAGTGTAAAGAAAAATATAAAAAAAAAAAAAATTATTTCTCTTTTCTCTTCTGTTAATTACTCCTCAGAGTGCATTATACTAAATGTTAAATAATGTTTTAATATCAAAATGTATTTTACACAGTACACGGGCGGCGTCTCAGCAAGATGACGTTTTGATAAGTAATTTTATACATGACCGAGAACTAATTTTTTTGAAATTGATTTACCAGGATATGCGTTAATTAATTAATGAAGTGTTTATTATGAACATTTCTTATAAAATTGGGAATCAATGATGAATGTTTTAGATTTACGCAACATTTAATTAATTCAACGAAGTTGGTAGACGTAAAAACTACAACTCAAATACATTTATCTATGCAATCAAATCAAAATAAATGATCTTCAGTACGATTAAAAATGAAAAAAAAACCTGAAAAATAAGTTATAAAAATATTACTGCTGAACTCCCGACTATAATTTGGCACTATATCGGAAGGTGGTTTAGTCTTTAGTGAAACATTTTTTTTTAAAATTATTTATTAATTTTTATTTGGCGATTGGAACAATCACACGCTCGTATTTAATATAGAGTATAAACCTGTGACTATGTTGACCAATACTAAAATGTTTTCACGTTCATGAAACCAATTTTTAAAAATAATGATGCTATGACCCCGCACCCCCCTTCCGCGCTTCTTGCTTGAGATTTATCGGCTCTTGAATAATTTACCTGAAAGAACTTATTTTCTTATTCATATAAAATCAAATTTTGTAAAAGAGGAAAAGGCTAATTTACAGATGACAGGTAAGAAAAAACTTGGATAAAGTTGAGACTGTACACATAAAAATATTTCTTGCATTTAGGCAATTTTAATTTCGCCACGAATAAAAAAGAAATTTTACTTGGAAATGAGATGAATAATGAAAATAGAAAGTTTTCTGCTCTGGTTGTTGCATAATGCATGCAAAAATATTTTTTTTAAAAAATCTATTACGAAATCAATCAGGTCAGATGATTTACACGTAATCTTCATGTAAGTAAAATACATTTGTAATTTAAGTAATACATACATTTGAATCTATGGTTACACTCATTTAAAAACAGTAAACTGACTGAAAAGAAATAACAGACTAGCATTTTTTTCTGAGAAATTTACATGAAGAGCCAAATTTAGGAAAATTTTCTAAATTTACGGAAAAAAACCGATCCCGATTGAAATAAAACCGATCCCGATCGAAAATAATGTAAAATTAATAAATTTATCAAACTAAAGGCACTTGTCACCTATATAATATGTTAAAAAAATAAATCAAGTAATTTCTTAATCATATTACAACAAAAGAGCCAAATTTGACATTACTATTTTAGTATTTTCTTCTTTATACAATTCCGGTCGGGATCGGTTTCATTTGTGAAAAATATAAAAAATAAGTAAATTTGACTCCTTTTATTTCTTTCAAAATACCTTTTCCCAATGATTTTATTAAATGACCCAAAAGTTTGTACATTGTATTCATAAAAACATAAGTAAACAAATATGTCCTTGTATTGTATTGGGTTTTATTACGTAATTAAAATTGGATACTGAATTTAAACATTTACCTGCTAAACTCAAATTTGGACCAGATAATTTTTTCTAAAAGGTATAAATTGGAGTCTTATTCATTCATAAAATAAATGATAAAAGTCTATTCTATAAATAATATTCATCGGCACATCCACCTCTGGAGTATCTGTTACATATAAAACAAAATAAAAACGTAGTATTTTTTTTACCCTCATGTTGACCTTTTTGCACTTAAAATTAAGCATTTACCAAAACTAGGACTAGAGGAGCACTATAAAATTTTTTGATGTTGCCATGTGTAAACACTTGCTTTAATAAGTCTACATGCAAAAAATAATTAAAATCTATGACATGCGATGTGCCACCCATTGCCTGGTTTTTCGGTGGACAGCCTCTTAATTATTTTTTAATCAGAATTTTTTTTAAAATATACTGGAAGCTTGCTCATTTTGAAAAACTGTTACAATTCTTTTTTTCCACTGGAAATTCCTAGTAATTCATTGTCTCTTTTTTGCAGTGTTGCGTATGTATCTAGATCAGGAGGCATGTCCAATGAATTGAACAACATCATCTCCCTTAATGCTAATGGTGTTTATGAGGGGATAGCCATTGGAGGTGACAGATACCCTGGCACGACTTTCATGGACCATATACTAAGATACCAAGACGACCCAAAAGTCAAAATGATTGTATTACTAGGAGAGGTAACTCTGTCACTTTTATTCTTTAATTTAAACCTGGGACATTGGGAACAACACAAAGGGAGAAAATCTACCTTATCTTATGATTTTACACTTCATAAATTCAGTGCAACTTAGCTTTTCTTAGTACAGTCAAATCTTGTTATTTCAAACTCTATGGGACAGAGGAAAAACTTAAAGATATCAGATAATTTGAGATGTCAAGGGTAAAATACTGAATGAATAAGTGGTTGGGACTTCCCAATCACTTTGACATATCCATGGTATTTGAGATACCAAACTTCAACTGTATTCTGTTGTTTTCTTATATTAGTTTTATTACTGAATACATAATACATGTATTTGAATTGTATGTAACGATTGATTACAGGTAGGTGGTACAGAGGAATACCACATTGTGAGTGCTATGAAGAGTGGACGTATCAACAAACCTCTGGTTGCCTGGTGTATAGGAACCTGTGCCAAAATGTTCACATCTGATGTAAGATTTAATTAAATGCAGTGTTCTTTCATACCTTATTAACTAAATTAAATGTTTTATTTTAATGCTGCAAAAGTATTGTCCAAAAAAATTGATACAGAAAGAGTCTTCAAAAATGTTCCTTTTCATACCAGGTGCAGTTTGGCCATGCAGGTGCTTGTGCTAATGCAGAGGCAGAAACAGCCTCAGCTAAAAACCAAGCTCTAACAGAAGCAAAGGCACATGTTCCCAGAAGTTTTGATGAATTGGGCACTCTCATAAAGTAAGCAAGTGTAAAAGTCAAGGGGTTCTTATGAGCATTAATAGGAAATGTTTAAAAAAAAAAATCATGTTTTGTTGCTTAAGTGAATTAAAAATACATATTGATGGTATGAAACTAATCTTGATCCTTGTTATTCACTTCTCTTTTATAATTTCATCTTCATTTTGTAGTCCACAAAGATATCATTATCATGTTGTTTTTTACAGAGAAGTTTATGACAAGCTGGTGGAGAATGGGACCATCGTACCAGAACCTGAGAGACCCCCACCCACAGTACCGATGGACTTCACATGGGCAAGAGTAAGATACTGTCTAGTGGAATATTGTACAAGTACCATAATGATTCATACTTATATAGATGTAATGACAGGTATTTGTACTCCATTTGAGTAAGAATCTTTTTGAAAATTGAATTGAATTATGTCTCTGGAGTTTGAGACAAATTTCCTATGATTGATATATAAATAAAATTTTATGTTCCATAAAATATTTTATATGCAATCTTTTTTACATTGTTTGACAAAGATGAAATTACAGTTGTTCTCGACTTATTGTTTTGACATCGGGATCGAACTCCTGTTAAGATCGGGTTCAGCATGATCGGCCATTATATTTGACTGTGGAAACACGAGGTTGTGATTAAATTCATGTTTTCTCTAGTGGGTAAAGCAACAAGAACAAGCTGCGGAAAGGCATTTCACATTACGGGATTTATTATTACTAGTGGAAAAGTTGTGAATATAAATAATCTAGAAAGCAAAGTACAGTGGACCCTCATTTATCCGGACGCTTTGGTTCCCAGTTAATTTGTCCGGATGTGTGAAGCGTCCGGATATCTGAATTACCAGTTAAACAAAACCAAATAACGTTTTAAAAATTCTGTTCCGATGAAAAGTCGTCCGGATACTGAAGCATCCAGATATCTGGCGTCCGGTTATCTGAAGGTCCACTGTATCCTATGTGCATCCCTTTTTTTTGCAGGAGCTGGGGTTGATCAGGAAACCTGCTTCCTTTATGACCAGTATCTGTGATGAGCGGGGACAGGAACTGTTGTATGCTGGGATACCAATCACGGATATATTTAAAGAAGATATGGGTATCGGAGGTGTGCTTAGTTTGCTGTGGTTCCAGAGAAGGTTTGTAAATAGATAATTGGTTTAAATATTTGTACTTAAGAAAAGACATTCCATAAGCATGTCAGAGATGTATATCTCAAGTAAATATCTCATGTAGTGTATTTACAAAGATTACACCACTGTGACATTAGTTTTAGAAGAGATTGTGCTTTACAATGTTTAGCACAACTATTTAAGGTTAGCACAACTATTTAAGGTTATAGAAATTAAAAGAACATTTATATCACACTGAGCGAAGTTCATGACTTTATATTTGTTGCTGAGTCCACAACTATTAAGAAGTTCAAAATGAATAAACTTTGTGATTATAAATGCAGTGTTATCAGATGCTATTACTTTTTATTGTTATATGTTCCAATTTTCCCAGGTTACCAAAATATGCTACAAAGTTCATAGAGATGTGTTTGATGGTGACAGCTGATCATGGACCGGCCGTGTCAGGGGCACATAACACCATTGTGTGTGCTCGCGCGGGCAAAGACCTGGTCTCCTGCCTAGCCTCTGGTCTCCTCACCATTGTAAGCTCATTCTATAATTAAATTTGATCTGACAAAGAGAAATTATAAAACTTTAGTCTGTTCGTGATATATAGAATGGATTTGAGAAGTTAAGTTTTATAGATAAATAAAAACTAAATTTTTACAAGAGTAAAATTGAATTGATGGATTTGAAAACTTAATGAACAGAAAAAATAATTCTTTGATAAATTGAAATGACTTAAAAAGTGTGGAATGCCATTTGAAATACTTTTATAATTTTACCTACAGGGAGATAGGTTTGGAGGTGCCCTGGATGCAGCAGCCAAACAGTTCTCTGATGCCTATACCAGTGATATGATACCAATGGAGTTTGTCAACAACATGAGAAAGGAGGGAAAACTTATCATGGGGATAGGTCACAGGGTCAAATCAGTAAGTAAGGATAGGTCAAAAAGTCAGATCAGTAAGTAAGGATAGGTCACAGGGTCAAATCAGTAAGTAAGGATAGGTCAAAAAGTCAGATCAGTAAGAAAAGATAGGTCACAGAGTCAAATCAGTAAGTAGGATAGGCCACAGGGCTAAGTAATCAAGTAAGAATATGTCACAGGGTCAAATCAGTAAAGTTAAGGGAAATTAAGGATAGATCATAGGATTTTTTGCAATATTCAGTTTGCCTTTTTTAGATCAATAATCCAGACATGAGAGTAGTGATACTTAAGGAGTATGCTCAGAAGAACTTCCCCGCTACACCTCTACTGGATTACGCCATAGAAGTGGAGAAAATTACAACTTCTAAGGTAATAAAGGAAAATAAGGGTGGACTTGATGAAGCATTGAGTGATCTTTGGTATTTTCATTATTCCCATCATTGATAACCTGTAGCATGCATGCATGCATATTGAATCATATTATGCAAATGGGAAGGGGGATTGAATCCATTTACTGGTTCATAATTTCTCCTAGTTTTAACACTCATTTTCCTCACTTTTCTTGATTTATAAATTCTATGAGTGGTACATCATCTGGTTTGATTGAATAAATGTAATCATTTGTTTCAGAATATTTGTGCCTCTAAGTGGAGTGATAGTTGTATTGAATAAATGTAATCATTTCTTTCAGAATATTTGTGCCTCTAAGTGGAATGACAGTTGTATTCTTTATATTTATATTTAGATCCTTCAGTGTAAAAAGATTATAGTAAGTTTGTGTTTTTATTTTAGAAACCTAACCTTATTCTGAATGTGGATGGTTTTATTGGAGTGGCGTTTGTTGATCTACTGAACAATTGTGGATGCTTTACTGGTGAGGAGGCCAGGGAATTGATTGATGTTGGGGCCCTCAATGGGTTATTTGTACTCGGTCGTAGCATGGGATTTATTGGTAAGTGTGATAACTTATAACCCCATATGTATACGTTTAAAAACTACTACTGGGTAACATCTAGCTAAATTGACATTTTATTTTGTGTTTGTAGCACTTCCATTTGCCCATTTGAATTATTCGCAACTTTTTTTTTTAAGGTCATTTCCTGGACCAGAAACGACTTAAGCAGGGACTGTACAGACATCCTTGGGACGATATCTCCTATGTCATGCCAGAAACTATGGGATTGATGGGGGAGGATACAGATAAAATCTAAAAGACCTTTAGACCTGTCAGTAGTAGGGAGTATTGTCCAGGGCGGGCCATGAACAATTCAAGATGATGTGATCTCATACGAGGGACTGAATATTAGTTTACAAAATGCTTACTAGGTAAAGCTGTGTGGGATATACTGTAAATGTATTATATTTGGCGTGTACAATATTTCGAGGAAATTGAGTTTTGAACAAGTTAGCGTACATTTGATTTAGCGCATTTCTTAATGTTCCTATTTATGTATATATGTTCAAAACTAGGTAAAGCTGTGTGGGATATATTTCCAAACCATTGGAAATATTGTAGTTGTTATCTTTTAATTTGTTGTGGAAATAATCAATTTTTGTGATAAATCATAAATGTGCTAGAAAGTAGTACAAAGGTTAGGCTGGGAGCAGTATTTTTGTTATAAAATAGCCTGTATTTATATAGGGTGAACTAAATGTATATTTGATTTCTTGTAAAAGACATGCATTGACTGGACCATTAATTCATACATGTATGAGCACTGCATAATTTATTTCTGTGCAATAGTTGCTATCATTTAAGAGTGCTTGATGTTAGTTGGCGAAGTTTTTGTTTGAATCATATGCAACAAGTAAATGTCTCCTTTGTTAGAGAATGCATTTAAACATATTTAATTTAAAGTTATAGTGAGCATCCATTTATTTTTCTCCTCTGTTACATTTTGGTTTTTACTGTGGCCATATTATGAAATGTCTCATTTCACATTTGATTACATTCTATAAATGTACTTGATATGAGAGTACTAAATTATTCATGTTTAAGTTTGCAGTGTGAAAGTTTTCTGTTATTCAGTTTTCTGATTTTGGTTCATTTCTCTAGCTTCCTTATAAGGTATTACATGTATTACCTTTTAGAAGTACTCCATGTATTAAATCATGTATTTTATTAAATACATATATAATTTATTATTTTAAAAAATTAAGCTGTATGTTTCCATCACAATTTACTAATTCTGATGTCAGTTGTTAATGGTTGCTTTGTTGTTTTAATAATTCTAAGGAAGGTGGGGTTCAGATTATGAAAATATATACACATGTATGTACATGTCATATCTAATATATTTTACGACATGCTTGTATGCAAAAAATAATATGCGAACTTCTTTATTGTTTATATATGTTTAAAGTAGTAAATTATTTTGTTACTGAATCTCCTCTATTATAAAAGATATATAATACATTTATTACTTGAAGGAAAGCTTGATTCTAGAAATTGAAATCCAGTTGGCAAATAAGAATTTTTATGTATCATCTAAAATGTTGGTAGAATACTTAAGTTAAATTTTATCATAATTCATGTCGAAATCATTATCAACATTATTTAGCCTCTTGTGCATTTGATGTTACATTGGGATACAAAAAAGTTCATGGTGCAATTTAAATGGGACTATGACTCTAAATTTTGAATAGGTTTTCATTTTCATTTCAGAGGTTCTCTTATAAGAAAATCCATGTAAAACATATCCATTTTGTGTATTGTCTTAGTAAGTTGCTAATGAGTTGTAATTTATCATTGATCTGCATATCAAATATGTCTGCTGATAAAATAAAAGAAATTAAACAAAACAGAAGCATTTGTATGGAAATTATCTGGTTCTGGGAGGTCTTTTGGAACATTTTACATGTACGTGTAATTGTTTGTAATCTAAATCCAGTTTTCATCCATCTTGCAAGATGAGAATTGGTTGTACATGTAATGTTGAAAGAGTCACAGGAATTCTGCAGATTTAGTAAATTTTATACATTTACTTTTCTTATTTATATCCAAATTTTCATTAATTTTCAAGCACTTTTTCTTTTAGAAAGCTTGTCCAACTACCAAATTTACAAATTCTATTCACCAATACACTTTATCAGATTATAAACAAACATCTCAAGCAAGCTGCCTTGTTAGCTTACCTGAGCTGAAAGCTCAAGTGAGCTTTTCTGATCACCCTTCTCCGACATCCGCCTATCTGTCTGTCTGTCTGCACTTTTCACATTTAAGACTTCTCAAGAACCAATGGGCATATTTTTACCAAAATTGGTACATGGCATCCTTGAGTAAAGGGGGAATATAATTCGTTAACGTGATGGGCCATGCCCATTTTACGAGGAATTGATAAATAAATCAAAAAAAGACAAAAATAGGGTGGGGTCATTAAAAAATCTTCAATCCAAGAACCACAGGGCCAGAAAAGCTGAAACTTAGGTGGAAGCATACCTGGATATAGTAGATTCTAGATTGCTCATATAATGTTACCCCTGGGGTAGGGTGACTCCACAAAAAGTATGAAAGTCTGGTAAGGAACAGAAGGCCTTATAATATATATGTAATTGAGTATTATGGCCCACGGGCCTCTTGTACTTTTAGAAGTACCTAGTCCATGCCTTAAAATCAGCTTTTTAATGAATAAAAATTGTTTAGTAGAATATAGTTCTTTATATAGATCCATTATAATGTGAAGACAAATTATATAAGTTTTATCTGCTTTCAATATTGATTTAGCTGGAGAATGTTGAAGTATGTTTTGTTTACTGTAGGTTTTAAATTTAAAAGTAAACTCTAATTTGGAGACGGGTAGTACCTATATATTTAGTATTACCTCTTTGATAAGTGGTGTTTTACTTAAGTAAATAAATAGGATTCAAATACCAATATTTGCTTTCCTTTCAATGGGCTTATATCCCGACATCTACAAAAAGCATGAATCAGGGTAGAGAGACCCATTCATAAAAATAAGCTGTATTTGTGCAAGAAGAAATAATATCTTATTGATAAACAGGTTTTACTTGTAGGAATTGACTTGACAGGGGAATATACTGAAAGATTTCTATCCAACCTCTGTGAGCCCTGTTGATATGTCTGGTAAAATTTTAAAGGAGTTCCCTGGTGATTTCCTATTTTAGCTTAGAAGTGAATAGTTCTTTTGTAACAAGAATCCAAGAATTACCTTACATGTAATAATGACGGCTCAGAGAAGCTATTTTAGACAAGCATGTTTTACTTTAAAAAATCTTCCTTTACATCACTTCTAGAGATTCGGGATTTTATCATTGTCTAACATTAATTTTAATTTAACTTTTTATTGTGAATTTGATAACTATGCATGTATTGGCTGGCACTAAAAAAAAAAAGTCTTCATACATTTACAAAATTAATGTGAATTTATCTGTCAGGAACGTGAGAATACGATTTTTTTCTAGCAAATTTCTTATACATGTATCTAAGGTCTGTCTTTCTGCGCTTTCAAGGAAAGAAATTGAAAAAAAAGCTCTTAATATACTTCCTTTTATAAGGATTACTATTTTATAATGGAGGTTCTATTTCTTTGTGAAATTTCGTCTTCAATAAGGATTTTCTTTCCCCTCATGTACTTGTCCGTTCGATATGCTATTTGCTTGGATTTATTTTAAGCTCCATTTTTTGTTTGAAAAATGAAGTCATTGAAAAAAAATTAAGTTACAACTTCTCCATTTAATTAAAATATATTTTAGAAATAAATCATAGTTCCAGATCCAGTATTTGGTTTTATATGTACATGTATATAAATTGAGGCCACGAACTATATTAAGTATTGTATGCAAATGTCATGGTGATACTTACCCAAAAAGCTAGAGTGGCTGAATGCATTCATGATAGCATGCAATGCAGCGTGGTTAGTTACCAAAGATGTTAAGGTTAGAAAAAGTTTCTTAAAATAAGGTAATATTTGTTTTTTACTTAGTTTTTACTTATCTAATAAGGGTAGTGTAAATACAGGGATGGAAAGTCAATATTTACTTTCCTTTCGGTAAGCTTATTCAGACAGAATACTTAGATATCACAGATAATAAACCCATTCATAAAATTTGTTCTGTCTGTGCAGAAAGTTGAAGCCGACGCTAAACAAGGGGTTTAAAGACAGCCTTGAAAGGACCACAGACTGATAATTTTTTCTGTCGTGCACGCACGTGCATGTTTATCAGTCTGACTAGTAAGGAATTATCATGGACTTTCCCCAAAATTTCCTGAATCGACCTTGATCAAAATGAAATGTAGGTTATTATTACTCATATAAAAAATCACAGCATACAGCTCCTAATGAGTCATAAGTATACATTTGCGGGGGGGGGGGGGGGGTAATTAAGATATTGTATAAGTGGAAATTTTAGAGAGAAGCAAATTTAGCGATTTGTCCTCAAAATGCGATCTCAGCACCCTTCCTAATAGTACATGTAATAAGGCCAAAAATATATACACACTAAGATTCTGCTTATACGGGTATTTTATTTCGTTTCCAATGAATTTCCAAATTCTATCATAGTAAATATAAAATAAAATTCCCATTAAACTCATCTTATCTCAGGGGATAGGTTGGGTGAATGGGTTAGAATTCATTATTGTAATTTCAGGATCCACCCCTTCCTAACTTGATTATTACCTATATCCCCCTTTTCTCTAACATTTTTTTATAGTCATGTCAACTTATTATAAACGGTTTTTGTAAAACTGTATAAAAATGAGGAAACAAATATAGCATTATGACGTTTAAGACTTGCATTAAAATTCAAAGCACGCACTAATCAGCTTTATGCGTTCTACATGTATGTACACTTGTACATAAATCATGCATATATGATTTTCATTCAAGGTGAAATTAAATATCCTTCAGTTACACACAGGGCGTGTAAGCAGCAAACATGCCTTTGAGCCAACACTTTGGGTGGAGCATTCTTTTTCATGTCGTTCTTCACAGATATATTATCTTTGTTCATTTTAGTCCGTAAAATATAATTAAATGCAAAGTAAAGAAAACTGAGTGCAGCGAATTTGTACTTAACAACCTTCTCTAAACTATTTAAAAAAAGATTTTAAAAATTATAACATCCGATTAAAGCGCTATTATATTTGTTTTGGTACCTAAATATAGTTTGTAAAATAATTTTAATCCCCAAAAAAATTACACAAAATGTTTCCTCTCTATTTCTCTCTCCATCTCTAGATCTTAATCTGCATGCATGCATGGAATTTGCAAAATGTGTGTCAATTTCATTATTTATGATATTTGAGAGGAAAAATAAATAACGTGTTTAGTGTTGCATAGTTTTTAACAAAAACTATTATATAAATACTTTCATCTTCGCTAGCCAAGGGTTTCTGATACGCTACTCTCC